TATACTGTTAATATTTAATCAATTTCAGATTCCTTTAGAAGTTCAAGTATACATAATCAATAATTTACAATCACAAAATCATATTACACAAAACAGCTTATTCTTAATAAATATACCTAAATGCCAGAATTACTTCAATCTCTGAATAACATTTATCATCTCCTGGCTACATTCCCTAATAAATACCAATGTTCATCAGTAACTATGAACCACACACAAAAACAAAAATAACACACACATGCAAATTCTGCTTTGGACATTACCCCAATGACTTGGTAATAATATCTTTATCATGCAATATAAAAAAGAAATACACTTCACTTAACACACTGATGCCTGGATAGCATTCATACATACCATGTCCAATGTGATTTTAATTTATCAATTTTGTGTATGTATAGATGGCCCCACAACTGCTTAATCAAGGACTTAATTACTAGTCCTACCTGAGCTTACCTGTGTTTTATTCTTAGAATAATAAGTTACAAATAATAAAAAAAACAATAAAAATAATAATAATGAAAATGATAATAACAGTAATGATGATGATGATAATAATAATAACAACATTAAAATAAAAATAATAATAACAGTAATGATATTAATGGAATTTGGAACAAATACACCAAAATCAGCTGTGGTCAGTTAGAACTACACACTGACAACTTGTGGAGCCATCTAATTGTAAAAAAAAAAATCACAAAACAAGACAGAACACACTCAATTACTTTTGAACTTTTAAAATCTAAAATATAGTAACATTTTAATATCTGGTTTATGAAATATAACCTTATATACACAGCACATGAAATATACATCACTTCACATTCAAACCTATTTCAAATATCTTCTAACATCAACCATTTACAAGTAATTATGAACACTAATATTGTGCTCCAATACACAGCTGCTGACAGCTCAGGGACTGGATTATGAACAATACATGACTAAGAGTAAATAACTGTACAAGACTACAATTGGTACTAGCTATTTACATAGGAAACCAGGAGTGCTCTATATTTTTCTATACAAGTTCAGTTGGTGTGCAATAATTCACAAGGAACACTGCAACCACTTTACACGTTTCTCATTAACAAAGTTAATCAAAATATAACAAAAATAATATAATGGAGAAGAGTTTTTCACATACTTTCTAAGTAATTTGGAATACTGTCTCTCTTCACATGTTTTTTGACATCTCAAAGTACTAAAGGCCTATATCCCTAAAATACAAATACATTTTTTGTTGTTGTACATGTTTGCGAATTCTGATAATAGGTTTAAATATAGCTAGAAAATATTCCACTTCCACTGTACATGAAAACTATTGCAGCATTACAGTTATAGAGCAGAAAAGGGGGAGCAGAGACAAAGAGAGAAGGGAGTAAGAGGAGGAACCAGCAGAAGAAGCAGAGAAAGCAGAAGAGGAGGCAAAGAACAAGGAAGAAGATGAGGGACTGGGGAAGCAGCTATGTTTCTTCTTAATATCTAACAGAGTAATTTAGAGTAAATTCAGCCGATCTTACAACTATGCTGCTGTGTTTCAGCATGATATTGTTGAAACACTACAGGAATCAGGAGTGAAATCTTTGAACTGTGAGAAAACAGAAATCTGCAAAAAAAAAATCTGTATTAGTAGAAGATTAATCACTAATAAATGCAACATCAATTAAAATCAAATCCGACATAAATAACAATATCTAGGCGGAAACTCCTTATACAAAATATATCATAATCTTTAAAGATTAAAGTATCAGGCCTTATTTCAACCTTTCCATACAAACCTTATCTCTCAGCTGGTGAGCTAAATGTAAAGCTGTTGTAAAGCATACAAGAACAGGGCTAAGCCAAGGTACAGCACATTCAGCCTGGACACTCTCAAACTTCATGGTTCCAGCAGCATTTGAGAGGTGATACACAGCAAGCACCAGTTTGTGAGCTTGAATGTAAAAGCTTACTGCCAAATCCCCTGGCAAAGGAGGTGTCAGGGATTTCTGTCAAATGAAATGAATACAGTCAATGATATTTGGTAATGTTCAGAAGAGGATAACCAATATTCTGGCATATGTATGCACATGAGGTGGTCCAATACTTACCATATTTCTGCTACTTAGAAGTTCATCAATTGTCTTTTTCCGAGGGATGAGAAGGCTGCTACGGCCAGTCTGCAGCATCTTGATTAGTTGACCCAGCACATTCAACACCTCACTACTTGTCCTTTGCAAAGAAAGAAAGGCCAATTTAGCCATCTCTGTATTCTAGATTCTTTTCACAGACAGCTGAATCATGCAATGTATTCATGTGCTTAGAACTTCCAGCATATCGATGAATTCAGCAAGACTAATGCTCAGTGTAAATTGCCAATAATATTATTCCTCAAGTGAATGGAAATCCAAGTGTACTGGATTCTAATTACTTCCTAAGAAGAGCATACAAATGTGTTCAATCTGCCTTTTTTTCTTATATATAAATACAGAATTTGTATAAAAGTTTATCAGTTGTATGAAAAGAGCTAAGATCATATTAACACTCCATCATTCATTTGCCATGATACCTATCTTCAGAACTAATTGTTTAACCTCAATAACTTTAAAAATACATTTCCTTCTTACTTAAAAGAGTTATTAGCTCCATGTCCTTGCAAGAACTGTATTGCAAGCTGCAGAAAGTTCCCTGCATCTTGAATCTGTTGTATCCGCCATGGGGCATCGGGTGTCACACTGGTCCGGTGCACCTGGTTCTGGTGTTTGGCCACCTTCATGTTGATGTCCTGATGCACAGTATATATTATTACAACCTCTCATTGGGATACAATTTTAAAGCGAATGACACGAAGATCTACAACTATATTAGTGATATCAAATTGTGAAACATCTTTACAAATCTTCCGAACATTAAGGTCAACTTATAATTACCACACTTTTTGTCATACTTGACTGTGTTGTTTCATATACACCTACATCCCTTTTAAACTCGACTTACTGCTTGGCTAATGGTGTCTCCAGTCACGGTGACTACACACTTGACTTGGTCCTGTGTGCTGTGTGCAGCTGTAGACATTATGAACTTCTCTTGTTTGACAGCTGTCTCATTACCACACAGTGGGACAGGGAAGTGAGTACAGCATTCCTGAAAGAAATATGGAGGTCAGTGTATTTAACACATCTTTTACTAAACTAATTTATGATTTTTTTCTTCTTTTCTTTTTAAGATGAAAGTACTAAAAGTTTTCTCTATGAGCTCAATGAGAAACATGGTTATTGTGCAACAGAATGATCCGTTAATACGTAAGACAAATGTTTGCTTTATTTCTTTCTTTTCCTTTTACTTCCTTTTAAAGCTTATCTTGCCTTTTACTTTAAATCAGATAGGCAAAAGCAGTTATCCAGTAACAGATATACACAGAGGCTATATATACAAAGTCATAATGTCATTTTCAGGACCTTTCCATCTAATTAATTTAACAAGAAAATTGAAGAATAAACCAATTCAAAAGTAGAAGGATATATATACAAGAAAAAAGACAAAGAAGTCCATTTATTTCAAACTTATCAAACATGCATGTATGTCTATGCTGCCTCTTTAGAGCTGACAGTGAAGCTTTCATGCAAGTTGTGTTATATTCTGATTTGCGTTATTATGTAGGATATGAGTCAATACACCACTCTGTTAAAAAAAATGATAATTCAACAAATAACAGAGTTTGTGAATGTGTGTAGCTCTGAACCACCAGTTTTCAATTCTTAGCTGAGATGATCAATTTTGCTTGAAACTTTGATAGTTGATAGTCCATTTTAGTTCTTAAAGGGTGAAAACTGAATACCAAAGCTCTGTTCTTACCTTAAGAACTTGCATCACTTGTGTAAAAACCCTTGGAACTTCCTCACTGAGCACCCAGTCAAATTCTTGCTGCTGTAAATGGAAAAGGGGAATTTAATGTCATACAAGAAAATTAAATATATATATATATATATATATATATATATATATATATATATATATATATATATATATATATATATATATATATATATATATACATATATATATATATATACACACACACATATGCATATATATACACATATACACACACACACGTGTGTGTGTGTGTGTGTGTGTGCATAATTATATACATCATTCATACACAGACAGAAAGACAGACAGAATAACAGAAAAACAAAAACACAGAAACACACACACACACACACAAGAAAAGGAAAAAAATTATATACATATACATATACATATATATATATATATAGATAGATATATATATATATATAGCAATAGCAAAAGGTGAGGTTAGTGTTTGGTAGTTCCTGGCATAAGACATAGGGATATCATAACTTCTCTCTAATGTCTTCATAAAATGACTGGTATTATGTTATGCCTTTCCCTGTCTGCACAGGCTTTGGATGGTGCCTTCTTAAAAAGGACTTTTTCGGTAGCAAGTATAGACCACTATCCCTAGTAGACCATGGTAAGGTTTGAACCCACTTGCTTAGAGATCTGCCTGGTCCTTAGTCCTTTGTGTCACCACTATACTACAGTACCTCAACCCTATTTAATGGTTTCATACAAAAGTGCATATTCAGTAAGTGCAAGTAAGATAGAAAAAATGTTTCTTCATTGCTAATGACTTCATACCAAGCCTAGATAAAGTATCACCTATGTTTGGAATGTTGCTTCACAGAAATAAAAATGGATGCTTTACAATTTATAAAGAGTACACATCTTATATGGCAAAGAGAACTTAGCATTATATGAGAAACAGGCAATGGCTTAGCACTAAGATGGAAGAGGCAAATGGTAGATATTACAATTTCTTTTGATTATTCCATGACCGTCTAACCACTGATCTACATAATGTCTCTCTGAAAAAGGTAATAATTTTGAGTGAAAATAGGGTTTGAGGATGCGAGTATAAGGTACACATTTACTAAATACTATTCACATTCAAATATTTGCTACTGTTACTGATAGGTTGATTTACATGGCCTCTAGGTCTTTAACCCTCCATAGAGAACTGTTCTAAAAATGTGTCTAGCAACATTTAACCTAAACCACTCATAACTATACAATGCCAAATTATTTGTATACTAACATTATTACTATATTCTCCAATGATAAGAAACTTGACTATTACTGTGTGCTGAGTGACATATGAAGGGAAAGCCATTGCAGGAGGTAATGAGGCTCCCAACAAATTCCTTTGTAAGGCCCTACATAGACAGACAAGTTTTAAACTTCTTTGATATTGAATACAATAATTCACACAACAAATGATGATGCCACATCTAAGCAATTTAGTTTGTATATAGTAATACATAGTGAATATATATGGCACAACTTTATATAATTAACTTGTTGCAGAATAAAGCCACAAAAATGTTTGAAATTTAATTACCACTTGTGGCATTTTACCAACATCCACTTCACTTTATATGTTCCTACACTCTGCATACAACTATGGTAAATCTATCCTGACATACCAATATGGTCAATAAAGTTCATATTCTCGAAAGATGTGACTGGTAAATATATATAAATATATACTTCCATTAAAAAAATATGAAACTAATGGCTGAGTTCCTCTTCAAATTTAACTTGCATTTAATTTTTCACTGGGCAATGAAAGGTACGTGGTGATGTCAAAGCTCTACATTACGTGATTACAATTGGTGTGATAATTTACTACATAAATATAAAACTAAAAACAATGGAACATAAATACAAGAAATTATCTGCTGTAAAGATATATACCTAATAGAAAAAGAGAACCAAAAAGACAAAAGCAGCAGCTGAATAATTCTTTGATAAACAGCACTTGTAGAAGAAAATAAACAGGGTCTGGAAGCAACAGAATCATAAATTCTAAGACATTGCTCTCATAAGACATGCTTTCATAAAATAAAACAAAATAAAACTTTTCAATCTACAAAATAGTTAAATAATCAAAGCAAAACAAAACAAATTCTATCACTATGATCATGTCCATTGAGTATCCATATGTACACTTCTCTGGTAAGTTACAGTCAAATAAGGAATCAATCCAAGATCTGCTGTGCCAGACCATATATTGTTGAGTACTTTTGGCCCTTGTAATGTCTAAAGTGCCGAAGTTTTCTCTTTACCTCTGCATGACCTTAATAAGTACCCATCTTATCTTATCTGGTTACTTTATAAAGATTCTGAATTAGAAAAACTAAAGTAAAGGGCACAAAACACACCTAAAACACCGCTATTGGATACAACACATAATCTGCAGAAAGGAAAGGTATTGTAGGACCACAATTATCAATAAAAATCTGCTTGCCCATTTAACTTCAATAATTCTGTGGTCTCTGCTTTCTTAGTCTGGAAAAGCCATAGAAACCTTTATTTGGAACATTTAGTCATCAAAACAGCTTGTTAACCCCTGGCAATATATCACCATATAAGGATCCAGTTTAAGTATCTCTTATGATATATACTTGGGGGAAGTCTGATATTCACTGCCATATTGTAAAGCATAATGAACATCCTACACAAAATAGCTGCCTACCTTAATTTTGTGAATGATGGTCATATTGCCATATATCATAGGGAAAAGTTAGAAAGTGAGATGTTTAAAGCAGTGCTTTCTTATTCTGTGATGCCAGCATAAACTCATTTAGTCCTTTCTGTGATCCCCTTTTCATTTCTGGTTTCTCCCACTCCTTAAAAACTTTAGCAAATTGTATCATCTATGAATTACAAATATACATGTCTTAGGAAGAAGAATTTAGTCACCTGGAGATTTATTTATCTGGAGATTTCATTTAACTTTAGAATCACATGGCACTCTTCTGTACAGTGAAACCTAGTCTGAAGCCAGTGGTTTTCAAGAAGTTAAAGGGCAAAACCTACATCTTGTTAGCTGAAACCAAATTCCAATAGAAAAAAAAGGAATTAGGACAATGGCAATCATAGCAAAACCATGTCCCTTTGGTTTCGTTCATTCTGTAATTCTTCATAAGAGGTCCATATGAAATCATAGTCATGACCTCTGCAATCTGCCAATTGAATTACAGCATATATAAATCCATGCAGTTTATAAGATCAATAATGCAAAATCTATGTCATTGTCTAGCCTGGGTTGGCTAGCCTAGTCCATACCATATCTCGTTTAGATTAGCTAAGTTTGAGAGGGCAACATGACAGGACCTACAATAGGAACTTTGTTATAAATGAGCAACATGGTACTCATAGTTTTGTACTTATTTTGTGGAGTATGGTAAGGTTTGATAGAGAGGAGTGGATTTTGGTTGATTTCAATTGAGACATTCAACCAATGAATTGTTTTGAAAACAGAAATACTGGGGAGGCTATTTTTGACTATCAAATAATGTGTCTATTTGCAATTTGGGTAATTCTTTACATAACTGACTCACTGACTCACACAGCCAAAGTGAACTTTGACTGTGCATGGAGCTTTCCGCGATCTTTTTCCTTTATTTGTGGCATTACCATACATGT